TATTTGGATTTTTCGAGGATGCTCGCGCAAGGCAAAAGCACATTTCTAGTTGGGGGTGTAGCTGTGAATTGGAAATGGATTAAACGACATTTGCTTTTGCTCACGTAAGAAAATAGAAAACAGAAGAAATAATGAACGGCGCAGGAAGTGCAACCATACTCTTGTTCCGCATGATGTCCCCTAAGCAGGCTGCAATTACTCTGATTCTGCCCCATGCCTATCCCGCATTTTCGCTGCCAGACCGCCTTGCCATTGTAATTAGCTGCACTTCTTAACCAACGCGGGAAATCATTACTCTGCAGAAACGTGTGCGGGGACATGTTTCAAATGTGAAATTCACGTCTTTCGTAACAAAGTGGGCTTGCCCCAGGACCTCCCTTTGAGCCACTCTCCAAGGCGTGGTTCATTACGCACTGCTGAACATATCTTTTAGTCTAGCAGAATTCGTGAGGTGGCGTCGTTCCCCCGATTTCCGAATAAATAGCAGAAAGAAAAGTGTCGGTGATTGGAGATACTACCGCATTCTGCCCGTGACTGGAGACTAATTGAACTTCTGCAAACATAGGCTTGCAGTTGCTCCAAACAAACTAAAGCTGAATTTCAGCCAGTATATTTTTGCGCTGTCATTGCAAAACCCAGTAAGAAAACGGGCTGTAAAGTAGACCAACCAGCGTCAGGACCTGCGCTGCACCAATTATCCAGTTGGCCCTAATGTCGAGAACAACTGCCTCGTCTTTCAGCTGCTATCCAGAAAGAACTCATGCCTTTTTAAGCAAAATGGTATAACGTTGTCGGGATGCCTTCATGCAGGCTTTTGCTGGACAGGCTATTCTTCTGAAAACATGTACGGCCGCTGATCGTCAAGCCAGAATGTCTCGCAAGCTTAATCTCCGTAGCTAGCAACTTTACGCTACTAACTGGCATGCGTAGCTAGCACCGCTTTTGCCGGCCGTTCCTGGAGCCCACAAATAACCCCCTATGAAAATTCTTTCACACTCTTCCGTCGCGAGGTGAGAAGACTTACTGCTGTTCCCTTCATGAAGCGAGAAAGTTCTTGATTGAAGGCCACTCTAGACTGCAGTACAGAACCGGCGAAAGGAATGAGAGAGCGTACGCATGCACATGCTTACACTGCAACAACCGGTATAGCCGCCGCTCTTCTGTGGCTAGAAGTAACTTATTTCTTTTTGAAACCAATGCCCCCTACAAGATGCAACCTGGCAGTCCTAAAGAGTACGCAGTTCCATACACTATGAAGGCGTAGGTATGCAAACGACTTTAGCAGCGTGTGACAGAATACTCTGCTCAACGAAGTGCATGGCATTTATCTGTACTTTTCCAGCATTGTCCTTCAGAAACTGAGATGTCTAGCAACGGCAGCTTTGCTGCCTGTCAGGATGGCGCAATGATACGGCGCATGAAACGCGTTGCCGACAAGAACCAGATCTTAGGCCTGTCTTGGTGAAAAGTTGTCCCGAGTGTGCACGTCAACTGCCTTTTTAGCAGGCTTTGCCAGTCTCGCTGGGCAGCCCAATCTGTCCGCCGTGCGTAAATCACATCCGCTATTCGCATAGCATCAAAAAGCGCTCCCTTCCCCACAGGAAGGAGACCCCAGTAGCGTTTAAACGTTTGTTCCTTCTTCCTTTCTTATACCGTTCATTCATTAGTTTTCTGAGTGGAATATCAAAGCAGGCGCTGTACGCTAGCGACTCACCAGTACCTATGGTTTCCCACAGTCCCGCTTACTCTTGCAGCCCAGTGGGGGGCGCCAATCCTCGACAGCCCTGCTGAACATATCTTAGCTCAGTAGTAGCAGCTATTATGACTATCCGGTTTGCACAGCTGATCGCAAACGGTTAGGTGTTAAAAGATTTGAAGCGCTGAGCCAAGTGTTTATGTCCAGGCACTGGGGAAACTAAAGAGCAATTCCTAAGAGCCCTGGTATGCGGCGCCCCTCATCCCTCCCCCAAGCCGGTGTAGCCACGCTTACTGCTCAGAACTCCCTAGGGCCCCAGTGCAAGCTTTGGTTCCTTCACAAGCAAAGCCTGTCTTTCTCTGCCGAGCTGCAGACGCTAACCTCTTTGGCCATGGGAACTGCGGGCGCCGCTACCGAAGAAAGAAAAAGAAAGAAGGAAATCTTACCAGCACTTTTGGTAAATTTGCCACGCCATCATTGTCCGATCTCCGCAGACACACCCCCGCCGTCGTCCAGGATAATTGGGAACTGCGCTTATTAAGAGCAGTTGTCAACATCTCCAGTCAGCGGGCATACTCGGCCACAAGCCACCAAAATTCTGGCAGAGGACAGATCTTACGGGGATTACAACAAGCATCAGTTAATGTACGTCACCTAAGCACCCGCACAAGGGGCTGGAGTCAAGCGATACGTGCTTGCAGCAAAGCTACCGTTGTGGTTGCGCGTCGGCTTCCCTACCCACCTCAAGCAAAGGAAAAGTGCATGTACAAACTTTCGAAGAGCCACAACTACACGGATCGGGCTACGCAACATTCCAATTCGAGCCGACTCTGAAGGGTAGTACACACACAAACACAAGTAGTGAAGATAAAATGCCCGATTTCTCCCCTGAGCCTCATATATTTCCGCAAGTGGCGTAATTTCCAAATCCCTAACCTTTGGGCAACTCCCACTGCCAATGCCTGGGTATGCCGCTTTCCACCTGGACACCGCATTGCCAGAAAAGGCTCTTTCATGCGGGCGCCGTACACTAATGTGGCAGAAGTGCATGAGCACACTATGCTCCAGAATGGTGTTTAGCAGCCTCTTCGGAAAATTTTGCGCAAGCCGTTGGTGCACACCGAGATCGTCTAAGATGAAGCCAAAAAAGCGGTGATGGCCTTGGCCACCACTAGAGAAGAATGCAACACTCTACATGCGGAGTCGCTGGAGAATCCAGGTGGTGTCCAAGACCGAGTAGAGCGACCAACGCTCGAGGAGCCATTCAAATACCACCACTTTGTCTGCGGCACTGGGGCTTCGCCGTAGTCGCCCAAGTGTTTGCGCTTGCGAGCGACGTTCCTCCGCAGAAAATCAGTGACCTTTCCGTAATTTGCACCTACTCCGGAGACAAAACGCTTACCCAAACTGGCAGGGGGATAAGCACCGGGGCATGCACTCTGCCGCTCTACGTGCTTCCTCGCTGCCAATGACAAAACTGCCGCTGACAAAAATGCTCGTCATTGACAGCCCGCAGATCTTTCTGTTGTGTCGCTGCTTTCGAATCAGAACTAAGTGCAAAGCGTGGTTGCATCAAAATTTCCGTTATATTGAACTACCCGGTTACCAGCTTCTCGCACACGGCACCTTGCTGGTGGCCGGCTTCGTAGCGAACTCTGACTCAACTCGGGGCCTCCATGCGGAACCTGACTGTTTTGTTCAGTTCAATTTGTCGTTACCAGTAAAATGGCATGTTACACCCTGGTGTATGTTCGTCTCTTTGGGTGCAGGGTGCTAATTAGGGCCGGCAGAATAAATTTAACAATTGTCGAGAGGGTTATGGCAAGCGAAAATATCGAGTTGGTTCTGCTCTCATGTGGTCCTGCTTAGGAACATTAGTCACAACCAGCCCCAGCAATAATCATGTCAGGTGAACAATTGTCTCCCAGTTCAACTGCTTTTCGCCGCTTGCCGAGGGCCCCGAAAATTTCGAATGAAGTGGGGCTGCCCCAGGAAAGCTCTGGAGTCTAGTATTGTCACAGTCTTGCAGTAGCATCCAGCTCTCAGCCTGGAACTGAAGAAAAGCGGCCAGGCCAACTATTGTTAACCTTCCCTATCGCACGTGCCTTCGCCGCCGCTTTCACTGGTTTCTATATTCGGGAGGCCGGGCTCTAGCAGTTCTTAAAAGTGCAGTTTTATAATGGGAAGGGGGGATTGCTCGCCATGGCCAGAGAGTCTCTTAGAAGTTGCTAGGAGCTGGAAGCCCGTTGATGCCGAAAAAATTGCCTGGAACTCCTAGGCAATGCTTTTACAATCATATCCGGTCTAGCCAAATGCAGGACAGAAACGCTTTCCGCTTAAACCCCAGCGGCATCTTTCCCCACCGGCAGTCCACCTCGCTCTAGTTCTAGCCTCTTCCCACCCCATGGGGTGAAGACGCTGCCGAGTCCAGCTGAAGAAACTAAGGGGAGTGTTTTCACGATCGGCCAGTCGCTTGTGGGCAAACAATTCTGCGAAGACGTGGTGGAATCTTACTGAGCTACTGGCCACACTAGTGTGTGTGTGTGTCGGCGTTCTCTAGTGTACCGCTGAAGCCACGAGCAGAGCCAGTAGAGATTGTCCAGCAAAGGCGGCTTTCCACGTTGCTTCAGCGTATGCTGACTGGTGGGCTGAGGAAGAGTCGCACTCCCTCGATAGCGATTCAAAGGTATAGGCAAGGTTAACGGAGCCAGGCCGCAGCTAGCCTTGGCCAGCCACGCAACAGGGAAGTTCTAAGGGCAAGCCGAGAGGCCGAGCCAGCTCATTTCGCCAAATACCCTGCTAGACAAAATGTGAGAAAAGTAATGGATCACAACTACGGGGACTGGACTGACGAACTTCGCCAGCGAGGGAAAGACCTCAGGATGATCGGGCAGAAGGCTCGCCAATGGCAGAGATACCCCAAGCTAGTCAGAGAAATAAAAAGGGGCAGCAAGTTGAGGTGAACATGCAAGCCACTCCCCTAATAATTTCTAAACGAAGAAACAGGCGTGCCGATGCAATACATGTGGGGGAGTCGTGTACTTGGCCAGCTGGGGGCAAAGGAAGACCAAGTTGCCAACCCCAGGAGGGAGAGGCAGTAACTCAGTAGGGAAAGGGAAGTGCAAAGGATATTCGTGAGTGCGCCGGGCGCAGGAAAAGGCTAGAGAGCTGGAGATGCAGGAAGTTGTTGGGAGTCGCATTTTGCTTTATTCCAAGGCAGTTACACGGGGCAACGCGACGAAAAAATGCCAGGCGGTCTCGGCATGCAGTGAAGCCCAGAAAGCGTGCACCTATCAGCGCTCAAATGCGGGGACGACGACTAGACTACTCGCAGTGGCACGGCGCACGCGAGCCCCTAGATGGTAAAACAAATCTGCCGGTCAACTCAGCCAATTGGATAAAGGCGATGCATCCACGCCGCCTGCATCCGGGGGAAAATAGGAAGAATCTGACACCACAGATGAGGCAACAAGTGTGAGTGCCCAAGGAGCGGCATCGTACCAACAAGCTGCTGAGAGTGGCAGCTGGTGTGGGTGCAGATAAGCGGGCAGCGGGCAGCGTGCACGTGTTAGGAGAGTGGAGAGCAGGGAATGCGGCCTTTTGGTTGAGGTTGCCACCCGACGCTGGCGGACCTATCGGCGTGGCGGGAGGCTGGCGAAGAGGACCAGCAACTGCAGTTCATGCCGCACACACTGAGTTGTAGCTGCTCAACAGATGCAGTTTATGTGCCAAAAATATAGAAGCGTTGACTGGCATGCATGCGATTCGGTTGGCGCATAACCGCGTTTGCATATCTAAGTGCCGGAGGAAGAAGTTCTTGGCTCTCAACAAGGTACGCTCTACCAAGCGACCTACGCAGAAGCAGATGAAGGGCAGGCAACGGTTCATACACAAGTGCATGACGTGCAACCGCGGGTGTTGCGCAACTCGAAGGATCGTGAACGTGAGCCAACAGGAATCGGCCCAAGGGGCCCTGGGTCTTGCTACAGCTCACAGAGGCCCTCATAGCTCCAGCCAGCTGTGATGGTCACTATCGTCAGAGAGCGGCAGCCACCAGCGAAAGTTTGTTTGTGTATTAGTAGAAGCAGGGCGTGTTTGGTTGTTGCGCGCCTGCGCAGAAAGGGGGAGCGCGGTTGAGAAGTCCTACGGAACACCTGGCCTAGCAGGTCCATTTCCTGATCTTTCACATATGAAGCCTCGGATAACAGCCATCGAGCTGTCTCCCTCTGTGCGATTCCGAGGCGCCACTGGTAAAGAATTTCCGTTAAGCTACGGCGTTGAGGGTGTTGGGTCTGTTGTACGGGCCCCTGAGAGCCAGCATGATTTCGTCCTTTTGCACTACGATGGGTTGTACTAGGCTTCGATTTGGTGCGGGAGGAAAGCACCTTCTGCAGTTTCCAAGAAAGCAAGAGGTGCATCATAGGAAAGAGCTGAGCGCGTCGACTGCTCTGAGAATTATTGCCGCAGCAGCGTATGCGCACAACGAAACGTCATCAAGCAAACTACGATTGACGCAGGCAGCGCGGCTGGGCCCGGAGGATACCATCCTAGGCCGTTGGGCACGCGAGAAGGTAGTTAGGTTAGTTTGTTGGCCTCAAACAGGTAGAGGAACTTCATGAATAGTAGCAGACTAGTACCCAAAAATATTTACTGTGAATGCCTCAGCAGAAATCGAAGCATGGGGGTGCTCAATGCGCTTGTGAAAATCCATGTTATCACACCAGTATAGCAGAAAGCACCAGTAGAAACCATGTCTGTAGCGGGGCTCAGGAAATGCCACTTGAGACCGACAGAGATTCAACAAGGAAGGAAATAAGAGGAGTCACGCCAGGTAAAACGCGCCACTCAAGGTGACGTTAATCCACTCACACACACCAGCTGGCCAAATTCGCATTTCTCCGAGGAAAGGCTGTTAAGCGTGGGTCTCAGGTGGCTTGAGACTCTCGAGAGCATGTTAGGAGCATCTAGGCAGACGTTGGTTCACCAGTTGCCGCCTCGGGTGCCAAGCGGGAGAAGCTGGGGCCACGAGAGGAACCTTTCAGAGTTTAATGCATGCAAAGCGGACGAAAATGACTTCACCTGCTTCCGCTTCTCCAGCCTAGATTGCAGGGGGAAAGGAAAACGGTTCGGGAACACAGCTGTGGGCCATAGTCGTCAACTACCAACAGCTGAATGCCGTGAGACTCATATATGTGCATCCAGTAGCCTATCGCCAAGAGCTCCGTGCTTTCATCAGGAGCCTGAGGCGCTGCAGGTGGGTACTACTTGTAACATCTGTGATTGCCTAGGCAGACCGTGCGTCTCTGCGGTAGCTTACGAAGATGAAATCCACGGAGAAAGTTCTCCGTGAAGGAAGTTTTGCTTCCTCGCCTTAACTTCGAGGACAAGAAGGTAGGATATCGGCCAAGAGCCAGCGACGTAGCTGCCAATACTCCCCCCGGGAGTGCCTACTAGCAGCCGTAGAAAGGCATGCAAAAGGATGGTACAGCGAATGGCGGAGCGGATGCCATAACTTCCTGCTTCATTGTGCAGGCAGCACGGAAAACTCGGCAAGGCTTCCACATCGCGCAGAGGTGCTTATGCATTTGCAGATGGGCTAGAACCTCGAGCATTTAAAAATAAGTGCTGGTTTTGCACGTGATTCAGGAAGCTAGTGCACTCGAGCAGATTCGCTCACCAGTTGGGTTAACGCTTTTTGCCTGAACCTCGTGTGTTTCCGCAAAAAGCAAGTCATTCTCCCACTTTGTCTTAGTTCCTCGACTTGCGCGCTTATGTGAACACGGGTATGGTGTCTCGCACCCGTTGTCGTTGCCGCGCAGCGAAGCCAATCTTCGCGGGAGGCCTTCACCACTTTTGCAGTCTTTCAGATTATCCAACACAAGGTGGCCATGAACTTTTGCAGAGGTCGTTCAACCATTTCAGATTAGCAGCCTACTGGTGTACTTGATTAGGAAGGAGGGATACTCTGCGCCTACGACGATGGGAGCAACATAATCCAGTCGCCAGCGGGCACGCCGGTAATTCATGCTGGGGACTGACTGCATTAATTTCGGATATGCGCGTGCGCGTTGTTTCAGCGTTGTAGATGTTATCCTGCACGCAGCTCAAAATTAAGACGGTCCCCTCTGACTCCTGGCATCTCCAGGAAGATGGCCAAAGAGAGCGAGCGAACAGGATTTTGGGTGTGAGCTAGCAGCACGGGCTGGAAAAGGGAGTAAGGTAACTCTATAGCTTGCATCTGATGCAGGCAGTGCTTGCATGAGAGGTCCCAACAGGAGCTGTAATAGGGGGTGAAGTAACTGTGTAGCTGCAAAAGCGGGTACATCGACTCTGTGCAGGTGGCTTCTTCTTACTAGCCATTCGTAATATAATTTTGTTGTTCTACTGGCCTGCTGTCGCTGTTGCACGTATCTGCAAGCACACATCCCCTCAACTTTGTTCATCCACCGGTGGCATAGCTCTCAGTAGTACGTTGTTCCAGAGACAACCAGCAAAAGGCAGTAACGAACGCTTGGCGAGATGCTGGGGCTGTTTGTTTTCCTTAGGGCCTCGCCATACGCAGGAATACAGTAGGGCAGAGTCGCTTACCCGGAAAGTAGCTGCCGAACAAAAAATTTGGGAGATAATTTCTACCCAGGCGATTCATATTTTCCCACAGTTTTGTACCTGGCGTCCTTGTGTTTTTTTTCACACCATCTGGAAAGCTACAAGTTGCCGTTGGAAGCATGCAGCTGGTGAGGTGTAGAGGTGGGGCAGAATCCAGAAGTCCAGCAACGGGTAACTAAACAGTGCTTAGACGGAAATTTAAAAAAGTTGCGGAGCTCTGGAGAGGCGCGTGCACTCCTGGAATAAGCACACTCAGCAAACTGGAGGGAGTCGACCCACAAGCTACACTGACCAATTTTGCACTGTATCAAAAGGTGAACAATCCACCAGCATGCCACTCCAACTATCACTAAGACTACCAGCCTCCTCTTGGTTCGTGGTGGTCAAGCGCTGACTCATGCTGAGCGGCATCGTGAATTCGCGTAGGCAGGCGCTGCGAAACTCGGGGTTTCTGCCAGTACTGGTATCCGTTGGGTATGTGCGGAGTGACTTGTAAGTAGTTTTGCCACGCTCTGTGCAACAGGTCCGCTTCAGCATGGAATAAAGTAGGCATTTCTGCCTAGCCTATCCACAATAAACTAAAGCGGCCCGCATCCTCTTGCTGCAGTCCTTCGAGGTTCCCGTCGCAGTCCGTCAACGAATCCCAATACTTTGCAATAGGCAATAGTGCTTCCACTCATTTCCTTGCAGCGCATATTAGGAGAGGGGTTGCAATATTGCTTCACGCCGCAGAGCGCATAGACATAGCGCATTCGCTATGGAGGCTTTAGGCTTGCCCTACAGTGACAACCCCCGAAATAATGACGTTGTCAATTGCCCCAACGTAGAAGTCACGTTTCACGGTCATTTGACTCATTTGTTAACTTGCTTTGTGTTTATCTGATAGACTTGTATGGGCTCCAACTGCCATCGGGAAAGAGCAATCACATGAATGCGCAAAGCAGTGGACAGACCGGCTGCACTACACTTTCGTAAATTTTTCTTCCAGCGTGTCCCAAGTGGCGTTGGCAGTTGCTGGCAACAAATGTGAGCATGGATCGGCGCATACTTGGCTTGAGGAGGGTCTGCCAGTACGAAATCCACCTCCGTTTCTCCCGGAACTCTGGGCCTAGTGCCTCCAGTGTAAAGGGGGCCTCTCCTGGCAACATTGGTCAAACTGTCCTCTTTAAAAATCCCCGGTTTTTGCCTCTCTCTTGCGAACTTCGATAATAATAATCAGCATAATAGTAATAATAGTAAGAGTAATGCCACAAAAATAATGCTATGGCATGATAGAATGCGCCGCACTATGCTTCCTTGCAATTCTGAGTGCCGAATCTGCTCGTTGCCTCTTCCTCGTGTCGCTTTCTCCTGGAATTGTTCTGCCCCGCCATCCATAGATTCAGTAGAGAAATCCCCACAAGGAAACATTCCGACGTAGAACCAGCATGCTGCATCAGGCTGCATCTGAAGTATGTAAAACCAGGATAAGCCGGGCGTGGTGCAGTTGTACTTCGATTGCCTTCATACACATCGCCATTTCAAACCGCTGCCCACGTACTGCGCCATTACGGAAAGAGATCTTATAGGACCTTAGTGGGCCTTTAAGACTCAAAACTCGTAATTTTTAATGGTAAATAGCCCAGCTTCCACAGTGATATGACTCCCGCATTGTAGAACATGGGATTTTTCTGTGGTAAAAGAATATGCGGATTCATTGGTATTTCTGTATGAACACTTAGTCTATGTAGTGCTGCGAATGAAGAGGTCTGCATCCTACCGATCGTCATGCGAAGTGCTCGCGAAGTGCTCGCGAAGTGCTCAACCCAGAAACCTTGACGCCTTCCTGCGAACGAAGCATCAGGCAAGTCCAAATGCGACGGGGAAGTTGCGCTGCCTCCCGACACGTTAGGAGGACAGCAGGCACAAGGCCCTTCGCAAGTGCGAGGCTTGCAAATAAGGACTGGAGGATCATGCTCACCATAATTAATAATATAATGACAAAGTCCTCCTCCTGAGGGTCACAACTCATTTCCTAGTCGAATTTAATACCTTTCATTTGGAAAGTGAACCGCTAGATGCGCCCGATTGGCTAGCAGTGCAACAGCTAGGCTCCTAGCAGACAGCAGCGGGGAAAATATTATCCCGTCGTGTTTTGGCTCCAAGTTCTAGCTGCGTTTTACCCTAGTTGGGCAGCTGGGATTGCAACAGAAGGAAATACACCTCAAGCTGCTTCAGTATATTAGGAGTGTTCGTTGCGAGTGTAGCAATTTATAACAATTCCACACTGTCCAGGCGACCATTTTAAACCAAGCGGAGGGCGCAGGAATTTAGTTATACAGAGAAAAAAACAGTTCGCCTTTACAAAGCAATGCTGAAATGGCAAAGGCAAGTAATTAAATAAGACATGAGTCCAGTTGGCATATCGCTCTCTGTTACGGCTGGACTCGTCACAAGAAGCCTATGTGGTCCATCAGGAAATGTACTGTACTGTGTAATGTCCAAGGACATTGCCTACAAGAACCAACTACTGCTGTCCAGATGGTTGTTTGCTTGTGCTCTTCTGGCCTTCGCATCCCTTCAGTACGGCTTCACCTAGAACCGAAAGCTTCGTCCCATTCGAAAAATCGAAGAGCCGCATCTACGCTTACTGACGGTCGTGTATTTTGAAGAGCTGACTCGAATTCTTCCGCTCCTATTGATTGCTTGGCCTGCAAAGCAGTAATGCTTATCTAATAACCGCAGGCTTTGTTCTCCACATGATGCTACGCAGCGGTTTTCATTAGCATGGCTGTCTACTATCAAATTCATAGGAAGGAGACGCTTCCCGCTAGGTTCGTCGGGCAGAATATCACGATATAAACTATTTTACACAACAGAGGAAAATTTTTCCAGGTTGCCTGCACTCACAATGGTGCATTCGATTGTTTCTTGAGTAACACCAGGAGATAGGCCTTTTAGCAGACGACGAACGGGTTGCATCGCAGCTTCCCGGCACAGGCTGCGCAGGTCAGCGCAGGAGAATCCATCAGTTCTCCTAGCAATCTCCTCTAGATTCACGTTGCTATCCAACTGCACGCATGTTGGGCTGCAAGTTCGTACTAATGCATCAATGCATCTAGGACAGTCAACACTGGGTGGCTTGATCACATCCTCTACAATAAGCTCAGCTGCTGATGAGTTTTCGAGTCGCTTGCCTTTTGTTGCCCGAGCAAGTGTATCAGCAGTTGCTTTCTAGCACAAAGATCCGGTAGTGGGATGAGAAGTCTCTTCTCGAGGCGACGCCGCAGAGCCTCATCAACGTTCCTTAGTCACATTTGTCAACATCCAACGCAATGTGTTTCGACTGAAATAGCCAGTGCCGGAAAGTAGTTTCTGTTTGAGCTACACTGCTAGTACAGGTGTCAGAAACGCCACCATTCGTAATCAACAGCTTCAAGACGCATTATCATGCAGCTCCGAGAAGTACGTACCATGGAGCGTTCGTAGCCGCTATGACGACAACGTGGGGCGATCTGCGCATATTAGAGCTGCCAAGCGAAGATGGTGCTTCTGCGTTGTCCGGGCGAGCAGAATTTGCTTTCTCTTGGTGAAGGCCATCTATCTGCTGTAAGAGCTCAGCCTTAAATCTTTTCGAAGCCTCGTGCTCATCATGACTTCCTCGCTTGCTGCAGAGTGCGTCGGCCTCGTCGAAGAACAAAACGCTTGGAGCACGTGCCCGTGCCACCTAAACACATGGTAAGCCCTTCAGACGCATTGTCAACTCGTCCCTCCGGGGAACAGAGGACTCTGTGTAAGGGATAACCACACTGGAGTGTATGCTAGTGAGGCGGCTCACTGTGAATAGCGTGCGGACCAGCTTCTCTGACTCTCCACGCCACTTTGACGTAAGTGTTGCAGGCGAGCAACGGAATAAGCAAACTCCAGGTGTTGACGCTACAGCGTAAGCCAGCATGGTTTTGCCTGATTAGACAATTTCATGCACAGGGTTTTCATCGCAAGTCGTTATTCTCGTAGCACTTGGGAAGTACCATGATTGTGTTTCCCGCCTAATTGGAAACAAACCTTGTTGCTTGCCAAACGTAGTAATACGTACCCGTTCCAGGGGGACCAAAAAGCATTAGGCCTTTCGGTGGCTCGAGTAGTCCAGTGAGGACGTTTGGCATTTGGAGTGGCAACAGTACACTTTCACGCAAAGCATCCTTTGCGGAAGAAAGCGCTACAATATCTTCAAAACTGATTCCTGCAAGAGCACGGTGGCCTCACAGAGACTCCCCAGATACACTATTTGACGCGACGTATTTTGATGCCGAGAACAAGAGCTGTTCTGGGCGCAGCTGCGTAAAGGGTAGGCACCCATTTCAGTGTAATCGTCATAGACCAGCGTAGCATGCTATCTAACCTGGGCTGGGCCACACAATCTCGCTCTCTATTAGTTGTACAAGATCGGCAGCGTGGTCCGCACTACCTACGGCCTCGTCTTCTACCCTGAAGCAACTCACTAGCAACGCGTTCAGTATGCGTGAGCTCCTCTTTTGGGCAATGAATGCACCAAACATATTTTTTTGCACGAAGTGCCACCTTGCACGGGTGCAGATTGGTATTATGTCTTGGTTTCTGTTGCACCTCATCGGTGAAAGGCGATTATTTTTAAAAGGTATCAGCGAAGGGTTCCCATCAAGCCCTGCAAGGACACAAGGAAATTCTATGTTGCCAGGCGGGTCACTGAGCATCAAGATGCCCCCGTAGGAAACAACTAGATTTACAAGAAATTGTAGCGCCTTCCGTTGCAAACGGTACTTCGAAAGAAAAAGTGTTGTTGCAAGATATTTGGGCTAGGCACTATGAAACACTTTTCCCTTAATGCGCAATCAGTGCTTCATGCCTGCGTCTTCATGAGCGTCACATTCTCGAATCTTGAAACTTTTGATGACAGCTCGTGTCATTCCATACACGCCAACCCCAACTTGGTTGCTGTAGAGGCTCGTGCTGAGCGGGATAAAGGGCTGGGTCCGGTGGAGCTTAATGCCCTGGCCCAAACAATTATTTGCAACCCATATACTGCAACGCAGCAATGAATACGCTTCCAAGACGGCCTTGTTTAGGCTCTCCAGTCATGGCCAGAGCAGTTTTCTCCTCAGTGCACTTTGAGGGGAACCAGCTAGAACCGAATTCGATAAGCATTTCACAGCTAATGCCATTTTTTTTGATGCTTTTGCATCGGACGGACTCTATGATGCTGAGGTATCCACGTTAGCAGATGAATAAAGGCGCATGAGGGCAAATCAGTGATTGCGCTGCATATGCATGGGGCTACCTTATAGAGTCCGAGGCATATTGTACAGCAACGTGAATCCAGGCGTGGGGATACAAGTTGTCCACGCCATCTGCAACCTGCATTTAATTCCCAGGACATTGTCAAAGATGCTGGCCTGCTGAGGCTGGTTCTGAAGCGCTCAGTGAGGGCACAATGGAGAGCAATGCAACTGGCAGCCAGCCCCCAATTGTTGGTAGTCCTTTGCATTAAAGTCTTATGAATTGGCAACCTACCAAGACTGTGCGGGGTGCTAGTCCAGGAACGAGACTCTCGACCCTGACACCCCTGCGGATCGATTCGAAAATACGCAGTGGGCCTTGCACAATAACTCCTGATGCGCAGCGGTAATGCTTTTGGTATGGTTGCTGCTTGACTGTGCCCAGCAGGAAATCCACTAAAAGATGGTGAGATTGTAGGGAGGAGTTTGCAAATCGTAGACGAGCACATTCATATTCCTCCGCGAGTTGAAGCAGAACTTCGGCTCTCCTAACGATTATTAGAATTCCGAAGACGGACAGACTTTGTGAGAGTGCCATCCACACCTGGCGGAGGTGTTGACCTGAAGGGAGCATAAGTCGCAAAGGCCACTGACGTCTCCAGCCTGTACACGCACATCACAGAGAAACGCAATCAGAAGCCATATCCAGAACAGAGAAAGCATTCTGCTGGCGTTTGCCGTCCCTCTGAAGATTTCCCAAAGGGTCTCTGTACCTTTGCCATGTCAATCAGTATGCAGACAGCTTGGCCGTCAAACGGACCACCTGGCGAAACCTGCGACCAAATGGAAGGCTCAGGTCGTGCGCGATGCTAGCTAGATAGAGCATCCGGATGCTTAACTAAAGTGTAGGCTCGTGCTTGCTCAACTACGTATTTCAGAAAGTCCAAATTTAGAGAGGTGCATGGCCATTTGTTTTGCCTCGCTATTTGAATCATTCAATCCTGTTCACGTGCGTCCCTGACGAAATCTAGCAGTGTATGAACTGTTCCACTCCGGGGTGTGCTTGTTTATCAACTGCACGTGCCGAAACCTCACTTTAAAAACAGTTTCCACTCTGTACACTCCTCTTTGTAGCACAGCCTGTTCTTCCTTGGTTCCCTCATAGCTAGCAATGCAGAAGCCAGCGGTGCACCCATCGATTGCTAGGTATCCAGTGCTGCTAGGCACGACTTTTAGTCTCCCCCGCTCCGTGAGCTTCCGCTGCAAAGCCACCTTGTTCTTTCAAGTAACTGCTTATGGCATCTGAGGATGTGAAAACTAAGATCATTACAATGCAGTAGTAAGTAGTTCGTCAATATTCCCCCATCAACTGCACATGCTTTGTTGTGTTGAAACAGAAAATAAAAATCCCTTACCCATCCTACGCCATTTCCCCACCGCTGTTGAGGCACTTGAAGCTCTCCATTTTTTGTATTTGGCTTCACCAGCGAATGGCATGTCCAAGTTTCTTCTGGTAAGGAATTCGTTCCTATGGCAACAAAAGAAGCAGCCTTCGTGGCACACTCACAAGGCAAGCCTCGCTGCGCAGCATTTCCGTTGATGGAGTGCTCGGTCCACTTCCTCCCAGCATGTGCCGCACCATCCCTGCCTCTCTCTCGTTGCCGTATTGCTCTTTTCATTTCAACGAATTATGCTTTGTACTTGTGAATTGAGAACGCCTTGTTCAAACTCCCCGCCGAAATTCTATTCTAAAGGTGTTGCTGCACTTCCCCAGTCTCCCCCAAAACCTTTGGCGCTCTGTGAAGCAAACAAAATAGTTTATGCCAGCATAAGCCAACTAGCTTGTACCGACGCTTGTCAAAAGACAAAGAGGGAGTCCTTTTGTGGAGCACCTTCTGTTAGTGTGCCTAAGACAAACCCACGCGAGGAAACCGTGTGCAGCTCCACTCTCCTGCGAAGTGCCGTGCTCCTTGCCTGTCTTTCATAAAACGCGTTAGCTGAGTTGCTGTTTTCCTTTCCGCTCCGCAGCGTGTGCCTATTGATCAGGCGAATGCTTTCTTGAGCATTTGACTGCTCGTGTAGTGAAAATAACGGAAGACCGAATCCTGGTAGTCTTTCTGCACAGCAAGTGAAAATCGGCAAAGTGGAAATACCCCTATCCACTCCAAACGGCACAAATAAACAGGCAGGCCTACCGAGCTATTCGACAACACTCGAGATGGTATCACTGTGTAATGCATGCCTTCCTGTCTTCTGCAGAGTACAGCGGATGGAACCCCCACCAGAATGCAACAAGGTTGTTTATCGAGCGCATTAATGCGGCATTGCCATTCGTTTCCATTGAGCCAGAAAATCTTTTACATGAGCCTAATTGGAGAGACGCCGTAGTTGTCTCAACGCAGGAGAGAGACAGTGCAGGACCATCTCGATCTGTCGCGCATCGCATATCCAAGAAGACAGCCCACCACTCATTCTCGCTTACAGCTACTAAAGCGATAAGGTTACTATTTGTCACTTTAGAGTAACTAGGACAAAGTTCCCACTGGATGTATAATCTAAACTTGGGGCTGCATGCATCAGCGTACCCATCTGTCAAGGACGCATGCACTTGTACCGAGTCTGCAATTGCTGAATGTTGGGCGTCTTTTGATTTTGATTGCACTACCAGCATGGGGAGGCAACAGGAGATGTTCTGGGCCATAAGTGAAGCTCAGGACAGGGAATAACTTCAATCCAGTCACCTTTCGCTCCTTTGCTGGCACTAGTCACGCTGAGCTCAGTTGTTTCGAATGCGCATCATCTTTCAACCTGACTTGCCTCTACAGTGAGTTGTTCTGACTCCGCTCCCCCCAAATTAAGCATTCGTTTTTTATGCCCCAGAGCAGGAACCACATGCAGCGACCCGAAACTTCGACAAGGCATTCCTGCTTACTTAATGCAGGGCCAGCTTAAGCTTTCGCCTGCCGCTCTCCATTTGCATGCACATTTTGCAGCTGCTCGAGAATGTATGAAAAGAGCGCAGGAATGTCCAAACTACGACAAGAGACATCCAGTAATCGCCTTCGACCCGTGCGAATCGGTTCCAAAGGACTGGTAGTCCCGGAAAAATGCAAATCAGGGCGAGCAGCTGAAGATTCTCTTGGCTAGGTACATGGCATTTTTCCACACAGGGTTGCTAGATTCTGCAACAAGGGGAACTGCAACTTGTGACAGGCTGCTCTCTCTGCGTACCAGTTCCAAGCCATTGTGCTGATATGCGCAGGAACCTAATGACTGGTGGGAAGACCAGCCGTCTTTCCAAACTGTTTTCTGACTGTTTTTCACCTC